ATTTATCGCACTTGTTCACATTGTGCATCTATCGCACCCGTTCGCTTTGTGCATCTATCGCACTCGTTCCCTTTGTATATATTACACCCGTTTACTTTGTGCATCTATCGCACTCGTTCACTTCGTGTATCTATCGCACAATCAATCTGTAGTGTTCATCTATCGCCCATCCTTACTGCCTTGTGCATCTATCGCACAATCTCATGCTTTTTGCATCCATCGCAGCATCTTGGGGTGTGCAGAAGCACGAACCTGAATGGTTTTTCTCCTCTTCTCACGATTTCGGCGTGGTTAGAGTGTGTTTTTATTTCTTTTCGGGTGAAACGTGATTGGACTTCTTTTGTTATTTCTTATTGCATCATCTTCCATGATCATGGGGTTTCAAAAGCCGGCTTCGCGAAGCGTGTGAGTCTAGCTTTCAAAGTATATTTTGTGTGCATATCATCTGCATCGTGCCCTTGAATTATGTCGGTTTGATTCTTTGCAAAGGGTATGTAGGTAGCTTTCGAGCTTAACCAATTTATTTGATGTCTTGATTGTTTGCCCAAGTCTTATGGCCTTGTCAAAATGGGTCATCTCTGGGCTTTGACATTCACTCATATCATTTCATGACTTCGAGTTCTGTCAAAGAGGGGTAACTGTAGACACCCCATTTTTGATTGCCCCTAAGACTTGGGCGCCACTGATTGATCACCCGATGATGAATTTATACGCTTGTCCAAATGATTGATTTCTCAACATGAAACCTCAATTTTGAGCCTCTAAAACCTACAAACCTTGTGCCTCGTTTTTGGACCAAAACAATAGTTTTTCAAGCCTGACCATCTAGGGGCCTGCAAACCCACTAGTGGCCTGCCAACCACTTATGTAAAAACTTAGATCTTTTTGACATCTATGCCAGTTGTTTCCACAGATGCATGCACTACACCAGCTGTGTCTATATGGATATTTTTGAGATAGTTTCATATATTTCTATATATAGATGACTCCCCCTAAAAAATTAGGGTTAGAAAAATTTGTAGAGCAAAGTTTTGGAAAATATTTCTCTCTCTACATTTCTCTCTCTCATTTGCAACTTCTATACCCTTTGTCTAGACACTCTAAACCAAACCTTGAGGGTTCTTTGCTGAGGTGTTTGAGCTTGCATTTTAGCTCTTGAGGGTGTGAAATTGTTGGTTTGTGAACAAAAGGATCACTCCTCTTTAAGAGGTATACATCCTTGCTCCTTTGCACCACTTCTTTCCTATATTTTCTTGCTGTTTTTGGCTTGTTTTTCAACTATTTTTATAGGCTGAAACTTGTGGTTTAAGGCCATTAAAAGTAAAAGGGTTGACCACCCTTCTTTGATCCTTGCTTCCTAGGCTTTTACCTTTGTGTTTCCCACATTTTTATTATCTTTTTTGAGTTTTTGCGCTTTTTAACACTGATTCTTGGAGGTTTTCAAAGGCTAAAATGTAGTTTTGAAGCCCCAAAAATGAAGGGGTTAGCTTCCCCTCCTTTGGCTTGTTTACTAGCTTAATTGCTCCATTATTTTAGCTTGCTTTTGTAGATGTTTTTACCTTAATTTCAGTACTGTTTTAGCCTATTTTAAGATTGTTTTAAGTTGTTCATGTCATTTATGCTTTGTATTGCATGCTTATAGTGTAACGATCCTCATAGGTTTGGTGTTTTAGGCATTAGACAACAACCTATTTGAGTTGATAGCATTTATTTCAAGTTTTCCATACTTGTGTTCATCTCTAATCATATCTGTACTTCTCTTATTTCTTGGCTTCTTCCTTGCTTGGAGAGTCATTTCAAACCGATTGTTTGTTTAAGCTTGAGATAGAGATCGTTGTGCTTAATGATTTAGTCTCTTCGGAGGTTCATTACCAACAACATGACATCTCTCTCATGTCCAAAACAACCCTTTGTTTGACACTTCCCTCATTTAGTGAACTCAATGCTCATTTTGGATTAAAATGACTAATGAATGGGAAGGTAATTAAAAGTGGTAATCAATGGCTTAAAATGAAGCAAGATAATAACATGGTTTGGGTTCAATCGGACGTTAATTGAACCCATTGAGTCTTGAGTCATTTCATACTTGTTAGTGATGAAAACAGTTCAAGAGTTGATGCCAACCATTTCCCTTGATCAATATCATGATAGGGAAAAGGTTCAAGGGTCTTTCATTGTGCATTTATTGAAATTGTATCTCTTGGTTCATAAGTCATCACGCAATGAATTTGCACCGATTGATGGCTTGCGAATCGAGTCTACCCCTCATTTGATCTGTCTGATGACAAGAAGAGGCAAGATGGACAAATATCCCATGAGAATGCTCTGTTTGTGCTCTTTATGTTTTCTGTTGCAACAGGACAAACCCAACATTGGTGGCCGGCAGGCCACCTATACTGTACGGTAGGTCACTATTAGTGTAGGGCCGACCATCACTTCTGGCCTGCCGGTCACCTTTTTCAACAAGGCAGTGCCACTTTTTTCACAGAGCAGAGCAAAGGCTGAGGTGCAAAACAAAATAGAGTCATTTTTGGAAGGAGGGAGAAATTCATGTACATGCATAAGCCATTTCCTTGCTCCTCGGGGCCCATTAATTTATGGACTTGTAATATTTAAACGCTTAGTTAGAATAACTAATTTACTTGGTGTTGTAATTAATTAGATTGATTAATTAATTTTGTGTTGTAATTATTTAATTAGCTTAGATAGAATAGTTAGTTAAATCTGTATTATAATAATTAGTTAGCTAGCTTAGCTGATTCATTCATTCAGATCCTCCTGCGAGAGGACAAATTGTAATAATGTGTATACCTTTCAACCTTACGTCTTTCTTCCTTTAATTTACTTGCTTATAATGGATAGTTTAGAGCATCATGTTCATTTAGCATTTCTCATGATTTGCATCTATTGTCTTGCATGCATTTGGCTCAGCGCATTATTCTAACTCACATTGTTATTTATTACTTCTTTAAATACGTGCTTAAACCGCATGCTATCAAATCGATTCACATGCCATGTTAGTAGTCGAGCCTATTAATCACATATTGCATGTGTTGCATTAGTCATTTACATAGTTAGAGCATGTATTTTTTTCTAACTCTTTTATTTTTTTTGGTTTGCCTTGGAGTGCGAGGTGAGCATGTATTGCTTGAAGCATGTCGCATGCGTGTGATTGTTGCTATATCAAGCATGAATTCCATGAGGCTAAGTGCTTAATTGCTATACATGTTTGAATGCCTGAGGATGAAGGCTAATTGCTTGAGTTGGGATAACTTGATCAAATGTACATGCGATATCACTTTTTCAAGTGGTACATATTCAAAATAATTTTCAAAACAAATATGAAATCAAAGTGTTCCAATTTTCGCGAATTAGTCTATACTTTGTGTGCAACACATAGTAATGTTAGTCTAATAATTAAAACAAGAGCATATAATGTAAATAAGAATCACATCATGATTAGTAGAGACCGATCATTGATCGGGCGAGTGGGATGCTCAATTCATGACCTTCCCCTCTCGTACCTAAGTTCCTGAGCCAAGACACTTTAGTGATGACGGTTAAGTGGCCTTTGGCACGAGTTTCAGGTTTTCTAAAGTTTTCAAAAATATTTAGGTGATGACTCTATAATCTGACAAAGCAGTCCATTTTTGACATTTTGATTCAAAATCGATTTTCTGAAAGATTTGTTAGATTTGGACTCTTTTGTGTTTATTATTTCACATTGCACTTGTGAGATCAGATTCAGAATCACAGGAATCTGAACTGTAGGGCTATCGTATTCGAAAGGAGCACGAAAAACAAGTTACAAAGTATAAGATTAATAAATTTTACATTTAAATTTTAAATTTTAATTAAATTAAAATTCTTTATGAAATTGTTGTTCATATTAAATAGGAATGATAAAATTGCAATAAGACACACCATTATGGAGCAATGAATGTCATGGGAACTTTTTTTATTTTTTTATTATCACAAATAGGATTTAATTGGTTATATTTAAACTTGATAGAACTTATTAGTATACTCAAGAGCAAATAGGACTTATTGATTATTTTTTGAAGAGGAATTCTATAGGGTGTATACCATATGCAGCTTGTTACATATTTTTTGGTATATATTATGTATTTTGTAATAAATATTACATATTTTTCTATTAATAATTATGATAATTTATGATTAAAAAATAAAATTACATATTTTTATGATAATATTAGATATTTTGTGATTAAAAAATATTTAGATAAAAAATAGGCACCTGTTCAAATTTATGTATGCAGAAGAGTCGTCTTCTTTTCTCTTTTTTTCTTTTTTTTTTCAATTCAATTCTATTGTCTCTCTATTTTATGATTAAAAAATATTTAGATAAAAAATAGGCACCTGTTCAAATTTATGTATGCAGAAGAGTCGTCTTCTTTTCTTTTTTTTTAATTCAATTCTATTATCTCTCTTCTTTTTTTTATTCAATTCTCTCTCTTCAATCCACTTCTCTCTCTACAAATATAAACCAACCCTATCTCTCTCTCTCTCTCTCTCTTCAATCCACGTTCTGTCAATAAGTTATTTAGTGGTTTAACAGCAATGTTCACATCACAGAAATCATGAAACCTATCGGATTGTCTGACAAAAAAAAATGATAGGACTCACTATTTTAATTAATAAAATAGTTGTTGTACTATCATTTGAATGAGTGATTATTCAGTATTCTTATAATATATACACGTGGTGTTGTATAACATTTTAATTAGTAAAAAATGATAGAGACTCAATTTATGTTGAGAATAGAAAATAACATCAAAGTTAAATAATTAGTGATTGACTAAAAATATGACTATGTAATTTTCTGAAATTATTAAATAATTTCCCATTTGAATTTGCCTAGAGCAAACTATAATTTATCCCTTCTGTCATTGCTACTCCAAATCCATTTCTCTCACATGTATGTAATCTCAATCCTCAATCTCCTCTCTGCAAAATGCAGCAGACCCAATCAATGCATATGAACAAGCTCCACAGTTGCATATGGCCCGAATTCTTTCTCATTGAACTACAGTTCAAACTTCCAATTCATAATTCAACAAGATAAATATTAAAGAATATCAACCCAAAAAAAAAAAAAAAAAAAATCTAAAATCTAAACTCCAAAACATCGCTTTTGCTCATCAACTTTTAAGACCCACACGCACCGTCTTCTTCAATTGATTCCTTGTGGTTAACTTGTTTGATGACATCTTGAATCAACAATCTCACATTCAAGTACGAAGAACCCCCTTCTTCCATTGCCTTTTTTGCCATCTCCCCAAGCACTCTCGCTCTTCTCTTTCTCTCTTCCCCTTCTATTCCTTCACCCATTACTTCCTCCACGGCTTCCCTAACTACCTCTCTCTTCACCAACACCGTACACTTGTCTTCCCCAAACATGTGCCCAATTGCCTGAGCCCCAACACTCACTCCGGTCTCCAAAATCTGCACAATCAGCTTCTCATTAAAAAATTGCTCTGCGAACATGGGCCAAGTTATCATCGGCACACCCGCACAAACCCCTTCCAATGTCGAATTCCACCCACAGTGTGTCAAAAATGCCCCCACCGCTGGGTGCGACAATATGAGTACTTGCGGTGCCCACCCTCGGATCACAAGGCCATTTCCTTTTACTCTCTCCTCGAATCCATCTTCTTCCACCCACTTCTCTATCTCTGCTGCTTTTGCTCCGCCTCTTATGACCCACACAAATGGGCGTTTTGATGCTTCCAAGCTTAAACCCAGCTCGATTAATTGAAGAGGTGAGAGGCGACCGGTGCTTCCAAGGCATGCGTAGACCACCGATCCTGGCTCTTGTTCATCGAGCCACTTCAAACACAGGTTTTCATCAATGGCAGCCTTGTTTCCTCTTTGAGCCTTGTCCAAGTTGTCTTTATTGCATAATGATAGCGGTCCAATGCACCAAACTTTGTCTCCTTTCACCTTTCGATACTCGTCCATGTATCTCGGTTCCAGCTCTTCGAAACTGTTAATCACCACCCCATATGCTTCGGCTTCCGCGGCTTGTATTTTCACCCGGATGTCTTGCACGTCCAATAATGAACCTGGATTGATTGAATTAGGCAACTGAGATTTTGTTAGCTGAATTTTTTCAGGCAAGCCAGGGAGCTCGAACGGTTCTGACTCGGACACACTCTCATGAACTTTGGTAATATGTAAATTGTGTGTGCATAAAAGAGTGAAGCAACTCGTTCCATCAAAAATAATTCTGGGAATTTGAAACTTTCGAGCAGTGTCGGCTACCCAAGCAATACTTTTGTCAGCTATTATGCAACTTGGTGACGGCTCGAGCGTTCCAAACAACTGCTCAAATGGTTCTTGCAACAGGCAGATGGCAACGAAGAAATTTCTCATTAGGTGTATAGAGGGAAGAGTGTCTACCGTTTCGCACCCCTCCGGCAGGCCGGCCTCCACGGACGGGAACCGGAGAGAGAGAAGGCGGAGGGGGAGTCCGGATTCAATTGCACGGTTGATGATTGGGTTGAATCTGGAAGCAATAAGAGGGGTGGTGACGACGGTGACAGTCACACCGTGTTGTGCCAATAATTTGGCCATGTCAATCATGGGTATGAAGTGGCCTGGGGCCATTACAGGTACTAAAACGAAGTGAAGGTGGTTATTTTGGAAAGCCATTGTAGCTGTTGGTGGTGGCGTGGTGGTGATGGATTTTTCTTTTTCTTTTTTTTTTTTTATTGGTTTGAGCTATAGGTGGTGGCGGTGGTTGATGAATTGACTATTATGTTACAACAAGCTGTTTTGGAATTTATATTGATGAAATGGGTGGCATTCGTGACTTTAAGGGTGATAGTGACGTAATGGCCTACATCAGCATTGAAATTTCATACATAAAAAACCAACCAACAAGAAAACAAGAAAAGCAAGAGAGCAAAAAAATAACGGTGAATATTGAGAATTGAGTAATGATAGAGATAATGAAAAAAATATCACATTATAAAAGATTTTTTATATTTGGATTAGATATATAATAAAATATCATACATTAATTAAATGATAAAAAATCTTTATGATGTATTTCATAATTTTTCTTTTCATGATTTTTAATAATATTCTTGAAAAATTATTGGTTAATTTTGGAGTATTAATTCACACAATTCATTGAATGATAACTGTTCAGTTGTCTTCTCAAAAAAATAAAAAGATAATAAATCTTACTATCTCAATTAACAAAAATCAAATTAAAATACCACATCAGCTATCCCATGAGCAATGAATAAGTTTCTATGGCCATGTTTGATTCGAGCAAAAGGATCCTCTGTCTCTAAATATTTATGTCTCCTGTCCTAAATCATTCATAATTATTGGATCATATGAGAATCTCAAGATTTGAGAATCTCAAGACATAATCAATGGTTGTGAGTGATTTGGGATAGGGGGACATGGATATTTGGAGACAGAGAATTCTTGGGTGTTTGATTCACAAGACTAATAGTGAAAGTGTTAATAATCTCGTCAAATTAGTGTAGTATTCACTATCCAATTGAATTAGTAGGATAAATTATCCCCTTGTCTATTATTTGATTTGCAATGGATAAGAAAATATATGAATGTAGTATTACAACTATATTTGTCTTCTTTTTCAATCTTACCCTCCATCAATATTTCTTCACAATTTTTAATTTATCAAAGTTTCGTCATAAACGTGGTTTTGAAAAAAATTATAAATAAATAAATAAAAACAAAATGAAAATACAAAATATAAAGGCTGTACGGGAAAGAAACACACCTTCTCATATAATCCTGTGTGCTCCTCCGTACGACGTCGCTTTATCACCTAAAAACACAAACGTGAGCTAGCCGGCGGGTGTGTGCCGGAAACCTCTCATTTATCAAAGTTTCGTCATAAACGTGGTTTTGAAAAAAATTATAAATAAATAAATAAAAACAAAATGAAAATACAAAATATAAAGGCTGTACGGGAAAGAAATACACATTCTCGTATAATCCTGTTGACTAAGTCTGTGCTCCTCCGTACGACGTCGTTTTATCACCTGAAAACACAAACGTGAGCTAGCCGGCGGGTGTGTGCCGGAAACCTCTCCGATGCCTAAGTCAGTAAACTTGACAAGTAGACAAAGCGCTGTGTATTCAAGAAGCAAAGTTGTGTGTTACCTCCCCCAAGGTGATGTTTGTGAGCTTTTATAAGTTTCGTGTGGCACAATCCTAGTAGGACTTCTATTCCTCCGTGCAGAGTCCTCCTAGGATTCACACTCCTGAAAGATAATGCTTATCCTTCAACACCCCCCACACTGCTTAAACCAAGTGAGATGGTTTTTACCACGGCCGAACTACCACATGACCGAAATAATACTGGCTATGCTGAGCCACAGAGTAGGCCGAACTATCCTTAGTTCGGTTTTCTCCCTTTACTCCTTATCTCGGTTTTCTCCTGTTCAACCATGGTGTGTTTAGACCGAGCTACCGAGTAGCAAGGTTTTGACCGATCTACCCAGAATACGTCATGACCGGACTAACTCTGAGACTGGCCCAACTCCAAGTTGTCTGGACCGAAGTAACTTATCATTTCTTCTGGGCCGGAGTAACCTTACAATTCTTGGGCCGAAGTAACTTCATCTATCTTGGGTCGGAGTAACTTTTCGGCCTGTTTAACCAGTCCGTCCTTTAGGCCATAAAGTCCATCCCATAGCTCGGCCCAATTTTCACAAAAATTCCCCTCTCAAAGGCCATGTTTGGTTTGTTTTTTAAATTTTTTTTAAAAAAAATATAAACTAATTTTATAAAATAAATATCAAAAAATATTTTTAAATTTTTAAAATTTATTTTAAACCTTCTAAAATATAAAATTATATAAAAATAATAAGTGTTTTAATTTTTAGTCAAGGGTAAAAGAGTTTTTTTATTTTATTTCACAGCTCATGATATATAATCTCACCCCTACCCTATTACTAATAATTCTACAAATTTATTAGATTAATTATTCATTAGATTAATAATCTTGAAACAAAATTTCAAAACAAACACAGAATTATTGGGCCTATAGATTAATAGTCCCAATCCCATATTATAATCCTGTCAATCAAACATGCCCTATTGATATTATTTCTTGGTATTGCAATTGAATAATGTCAGAGGTCTTAAAAATTCTACCAAAATTTCTACTAAAAGGTTTCACATATATGTAAGAGATTTTGATAAAAATTTTAATAGATGTTTTTGGGCTTCTAACGTTACTCATTGCGATTACCATTTAAAAAAAAAAGAGGCGCAACTGATGAAGAATTTGTGGGCACGAAAGTTAACAGTTATTTAAAATAGTAATTTAATCAAAATTTGAGACATAGTTTCAAAATTATTATTTTTGTTCTAAAACAGTAATTTAGAAACTGTTTCAGTTTCCCATTAAAAAAAAAATGTCTCAAATTTTTAAATGAATGGTGTGGATTAATTAATTAATTAATTAATTAATTTTTGCGAGCTCACCTCATAAATATATAAGTGCTTGATTTCAAATTCTATGTAAATTTTAATTTTTTCCCCTAAATTTATGGACTTATTGATTAAAAATGAATAGTGGGCCAACATGAGTAGTTTTTGGTGACAATTTTTATTGTTTAAAACCGGAATGACAAAATAATCAATAAATCTTATTTTTTATAATATATTTTTTAAAAAATCACTGTTTTATAATGGCGGATGTTATTTTAATTTTATCTCTTATTTAATATCAACAACAGTTCCATAAATATTTTGAATAAAATAATATTTTTTTAATTGTGCAAATTATGATATTATATTAAAGAAATCATAAATCACAATGAAAATTATCAATAAGTTCTATTTCATTTTGAAATTTATTATTGAGTTATATTAAATTTCAATATTAACAAATAAATCCTTTTTTCTTGTTTATATAAATTGTTATAAAAAAAAAGTTTAATTGTTCATAATAGTATATTTTATTTTCATTTTATATTTTTTTTATTAAAATATGAACAAAAAATTTGATAAATAATTTTAATTTATTAGAAATTTTATAATTAAATTATTTTTAATTGTTCAAATTAAATGATTTTTCATAAACAAATTATAAGTGTAAGATTAATAATTTTTACAATTAAATTTTAAATTTTAATTAAATTAAAATTCTTTATGAAATTTTTTTTCATATTAAATAGGAATGATACACTACAGGAAATATGAGATTTAGCGGCATTTATTTATCGGCGTTTAAAAAAACGCCGCTTTTTTTAGTATTTAACGTTTTAAGAACCCTCTCTCTCTCTCTCTCTCTTCAAACCCTCATTTTGAATTTGGGAAACCCTTCAGTCTCAAAGAAATCTATTCCTCAAATCTCTCACTGACTCGATCGCTCGCTCTCTCTTTAGCTCGGTGATTCATCTCAAATCCAATCTAAAGTGATTTCAATTTCAAAGTTCTTTCTCTCTCTTGATTTCGAAGCTCCACCACCACCACCATCTGCATCACTGACTAAGGTGAGCACCACCGTCTACAATCTCAATTTCATATTCTCTCTCTCTCTCTCTCTCTCTCTCTCAAGCTCTTCCTTCTGTTGATTCTTCTCCTAGGTTTTGGATCAACTCTCGTTCAAAAATATATGTTTAAGATTTGAAATTTCTCATTTGAAAATATTTGTTTGATTTTTGAAATTTCTCATTCGAAAATATATAGTATTTCCTCATTAAAAATTTCATTCGAAACAATATCCTTTTAGATATGAGATTTTCATTTGAAAATACATGTTTCAGATCTGAGAGCTTTTATTCGTTTGAGATCTGAAGACTCGTTGGGAATTTTTTTTGGGTATAGCCTTCTTTTTACTTAGGCTTTTGATTGTTGATTTTTTAGGGAATTTGATTACTCGAGCTTTTGCGTATATGAATGACATCCTTGATGAGGTCTGCTATTTTCTTCTTTATTTATTTATTTATTTTTTTTTTATCAATTCATGCTATATTCATTGAAAAGGTGTAATAAATTATTGACAATCTATCCTTGAATGTTATTTTTTTGGCATTTATTATATCAACTATGTTTTATTCCAAAGAATTAATTCTGGACTCTAAAGAACATAGGTCATCAATTAATAAATTGTGTTCTTATTTGCATGCTTGTTATCAATTCGAATGTTATTTTTCTTGCCATTCATGTTCTTCACATTAATTGCTTTTATTTTGATTGGAGTATAAAAGTCTTTTGTGAATGTATGGTGAGTAGGATTGCTGACTTTGAAACTGTTAGGGATATCAAAGAGAAGCTTTGCTATGTAAGGTTAGCAAATATCATCATAGTGCGGTTTGCTTTTATGGAATTTATTCATTGCAATTTACTTGTTCTGTTTTGCAATTATGATTACCGAAGGGAATATCAAATTTGGCACACCATTGTCGTGTCTTTTTTTTGTATTTCAGTGTTGCTTTTAAGTATCTCAGTTGGATCTTATTTGAGACTTTTGTTGCTTGAACTTAATCTTCATTATTGATGATTACTATAGTGTGCTGGAATTGGAACAAATCGAGTCACATCTTCACTTCATACTTGTTTGTTCCAACAAGTCTGTGTTCTGCTATTATTATGGTTGCGTGCATAGTAATAATTAATATTTTTATGATTGTTAATTTACATCTCTATTGTGATTTCCTACTTTTAGTTTTTTACTACGGTTGGTGGTTTTTTCACTTTTAATGATTTTATTTTTTCATTTTTTATACAACACAGATGAGTAAGGGTAAAAATAAGTGATTGAAAT